AGGTTGACACTTGCCATTTCTTATTATTCACTTTGTTTACATTATTTTCTAGAGCAAACGCAGGAAAACCATGAAAGAAAATCAAACTAAATACTAACAAATAGCGGCTATTTAGATACAAATTGTCAGTATCAATGAACCAGAACACAATGAAGATGAATCCACATGGGACCATTTTTCATTCATCTTTATTGCGTTCTGGGTTCATTGATAGTACTGACAATTTGTCTCTAAATAGCCGCTATTTGTTAGTATTTAGTTTGATTTTGTTTCATGGTTTTCTTGCGTTTGCTCTACGGATCCAGGGGTGGTGATTAGGGTCACAAGTCACCCCCGTTCCTCTTCGAAAAAAAAACAATAATATACTAGTAATAATAGAAACTTAAACTAAAACGATACAAAATTTTTTATTCAAAAGCAATAGAATCGAAAGGCATATTTTGGTTTTCAAAAAGATAAATTTAACACCGTAAAAAAAAGGATGTGAAATAACTTACTGACGTTTCGGACGTTAATCCTTATTTCACCTTTTTTACGGTGTTAAATTTATCTTTTTACACAAATGTTTCTTTAGAAACACCGACCCAGCTCACACTAGTTTACCACTAGTTCTCACTATTTTGGTTTCCGACTTCACAGCGGAATTTGTTTTTCTTTCTATAATGTTTTCCTCCTTTTCCTTCTTCATAAAAGAACGCCACGCATTCTATAATTACTAGGCTGTCAGACATACTTTGGAGTATGTAAGTACGATAACGATGTCACAAAGATTAACGAGAATGACCAGGTAGTCCAGAGAGGTCATATAGGTCAAATTACATGWTAGAAAGGTCTGTGATTGGTTGTATGGATTGTGAATCATTTTTCTCACAATACCGCCATTTTAAGCGATTTTTCCCGTAATACCGCATCTTAAAAACTTCAAATACCGCATATCGCACAAAATACAAATCMCGCATTATCGAATTTATTTTGCCAAATTACCGGAATATCGCATGAAAAAACGGTCAATCCCGCAATCCCCCAAACCCCAATGTCCCCCTCCAATAGCGTTAGTGCAACATGCCGACCAGATATTTTGCCCAATGTACGCGAGCTATTGAAGATGTCCTTCTCATCGGAAGTGTCGAGGCTGATCGTTCTTGCCTTAGACGAATCTATACTTGGCTGAGGACAACGATGACCACAGAGACGCTGTCAGATTTAGCGTTTATTGCCATACATGGCAATGCTATTCCCCTAACCACACAAGAAATATGCCGGGCATTTATGCAGCTCCATCCTAGGAGAATGTAAGAGCCATCGCTTTTCTCCTTATCTGTATCATTTTATATTAGTTTTGATGTAAAATAGTTGTTACTCTACATAGAGAAACACTCAGACTTAAAAAAAAAGAAACAAGCAACAAAATACCAATGTAGCTGCTAGAGTGTATGCTGCATTGATTAATAGATAGAAAAATTAAATTAAATAACGTAACTTTTTCAAATGAAATACTTGTCAAAAAATAGTCACCCGCCTTCCCAAAATCGTGGATCCGCCACTGTAGCTAAGCGTATTACAGTGATAAATGTGGCAATGAAGTAAACAACTAGTCCTTCTCATCCGTTGTCAACGGATGTGAAGGAGACTAGTAAACAACCAGTACTTGAACAAACATACCAGTTTTTGACTTAAGGAATAAAAGACGAAATTCCGTGTTTGATACTCTGATCAAAACACGCGGGTTGTAGGGAGAGCACGAGAGAAGCGTAGGAAACCACGACGCGTAGCGGAGTGGTTTCCAGCTTTTCGAGTGCTCTCCCTACATCCCAAGTGTTTTGATCAGAGTATCAAACACGGAATTTCGTCTTTTATTTCTTTTCTAAAATTAAAAGAA